GGGGGTTGCATAAGAGTTCAGGGCTTCGAGCATGGGATTCTGGGTCGAGGGTTAAGGGTTCACGGTTTAAAGGTTTGGGTTTAGGGTGTATAGTGTAGGGACCCTAAACCCTAAACCCTAAACCCTAAGTACGGCTTGGGGTTTCGGATTTAGGGTCAGGGTTAAGTTGAGGGTTCAAGGACAAAAGCCCCCAGACAGAGTCAGGGCACGGTTTGCGTGGTCGACTTCCGGTAATCCTTCCAATTCACCTGGGCTTGCGTCTTGCAACCCAGCCTGGGGTCTAGAGGAAACCGAATCTCGCGGCTTAAATAGTAATTAGAAGACTGTTTCGGTGTATACCCTAAACCCTAAACCCTAAACCCTAAACCCTAAACCCTAAACCCTAAACCCTAAACCCTAGACCCTAAACCCTAAACCCTAAACCGTGGCTCTTGTCAAAAAGCCCTAAGCTCCCAAACCCTGAACCCTAGACCCTAACCGGTACCCCAAAAGACGTAGATTGCTGTCTTCCAGTTGGCCAAATGCCTCCAGCACCTAAACCCTAAGCCCTAAACCCTAAGCCCTAAACCCTAAGCCCTAAACCCAAACCTGAGACCACCTATGCCCCTGTTCTGCCAGTTATATCGAAGCCTTAACTGGGCTTTGAAGTAACCAGGGAGAAAAAAGTATAGACTTTTATTTCGTAATGGTTCCTTTAAGGAACAGGTCCCAAAAAAAAGTGTTAAAGTATGGTACTCCAAAGCCGAGTTAAGCCTTACGGTCGCTTTAAAGCGACTCTTATAGACGGTCGACCAGGGAGCCAGACTGTCATGGGGGCTGGAATGAGCCTTTTCAGGTTCTGCAATGTAGGGGCCCTAATACTTAAAATAGGGCTTGGGACTACAACCGGCTATTTTACAATGATGACTTATATCGAATAGTACTGTCCTTCCTAAACCCTAAACTCTAAACCCTAAACCCTAAACCCTAAACCCTTAAACCCTAGACCCTAAAACCCTATCTATGGCCCCTGTGTAAGAAGAGCACATCCCCCATCTTGCAGCTGTTTAGCTTTAAACGGGAAACTCAAAAAACATAACCCTGAGTCCAGCATGGAATCCTTTGTAGGGCTGGGTCTAGAAGCCTTAGAACACCCCTATCAAACCCCTATGGAGGCCGTGTAACATCTCTACACAACCTTGTTTTTTTACTCTGAAATCTTGTCCGAACCCCACCAAACCCCCTACGAAAAGCCCAGCAAAACCCTCTTGGAACACCATAACCCTCAACCATACATCCTAAACCCACCCGAACACAAAATTCCTACACTTCTTCGGGTTTACTAAGGCTTGGGGCTTAGGATTTAGGGTTTAGGGCTTAAGGTCTAGGGTAGAGGGACCTCCAGGGTTCCTTAGCATAATTTTTCTACCTGAACGTAAGTTAGGGCTTAGGGTTTAGGGTTCAGGGTTTAGTAGGGTGTAAACCGTGGCTTCAGGTATCGGGTGGTTTAGGGTTTCGGGTTTCGGTTTGTGGCGTATATCAGATTATTGGGCTTTGGGTTGCAGGACGTGGCCGTTGATAGATCATGGCTGAACTCCTTCAGGGAAACACCCCGAACCGAATCTTGGGCAGCGGCCACTGCGATCTGGTATTTGACGCCTGCACACGGCTGTTTCATCGGCTGATCCAGAAGCACATCGAAACACTGAGGGTTAAGGCTCCCTCGTTGAAGAACTGAACTAGGAGAAGCAGGCAACAAAAGGCAAACGCAACAGTACAGTCGCCGTTGATGTCATGACCTGTACTATTGTGGGGGCTCCTCTTAAAATTATGGTTGTTAAGGCCCCTATATTATATAGTTCTACTGGTTCTAGGCCCTTTCCGCCGAGCTCCTACGGCCAGAGAGGACCAAGATGATCACAGCTTAAGATCTCGGGTTTGCGTAGGATGTAGCGTTTAGGATTTAGGAAGACGTTCATCTCTGACCCAAAGCACACAAAGTCGCGGCTGTGTGCCTTCAAAAGCCCAGCGCACGTCTTCGCAGTCGGGCGGCGCTTGAGCCTCCAGTGGTTTAGGGTGTCGGGCTTAGCATCCCATAGGGGTCCGTTCAGGGCTTAGGATTCTACATGCAAGGGTCCGAAAAGGGAACCATCAGGGTAGCATACCTGTTCTACAAGGCTTCTGTAGTATAAGGGTATGAAAAAGGTTGCGTAAGGGTGCTTCAATGTGGGCTTTCGCATAACTAACTAGGGGCACCTGCATTTGGAATATCGGCATCCTTGTCATGAGGAGTCCAGCGTTCAGGGTTTATAGGGTTCAGGGTTTAGGGTTTTTGGCTTGGGGTCTACGTCAACGTTCCCGGGTCTTGCGAAGCTCGCAAAGAGTCTTTCGACTGGTTATTCAATGACTTCCACGGATTTATAGTAGACGGGACCTGAAATGCGCGACCGGGGCTCAAAACGATTTCGGCACCTCAATCCCACCTCAACCGTAAACTCCAAAACCCTAAACCCCAAACCCAAACCCAAACCCTAAATCCCAAAATCCAAACCCTCATAGAATCTTTGTAGGACCCTTATGGTACCCTCATAGAACTTGAGACCCCGCAGATCCCGATCTAGAAACCCTACAAAACCATATGCTAACCTCTAAACTCACAAACCAAATAAAACTTATAAAACCCCAAAGACCTTGTAAATGTCCATAGAGCCCCAAACTTATAAAACCCCACAGGGACCCTGTAAATCTCTATAGAGCCCCATAGAACCCCCAAATCTAAACCGAAACCCTAAACCCTAAACCCTAAACCCTAAACCTTAAACCCTGAACCCTAGAAACTCCAAAGGCGTCGGCCTCGACGAAGGCTGCGACCTGGTTTGGTGGAGAGGTGGTCTCCGTGCCCATGGGAAAAACCTCGGCTTTCGGGTTTAATGTTTGGGGTTTCGGGTTTTGGGGTTTAGGGTTTAGGTTTTGGGGTTTAGGGTTTAGGGTTTAGGGTTTAGGGTTTAGGGTTTAGGGTTGAGGGTTTAGGGTTAAGGGTTTAGGGCAGCTCTGGGTTACCACAGGGGCCTTACTAGTAACCCATACTATTTGGGGGGTTCCGTGTTATAACTCTGGTATAGTATACCCCAGAACCCTATTCTAGTTATTAAGGCCCCTACATTAGGCGTTCTATAGAACTTTGGGGTTCTGCAAGGACTTAGGGTTCTATAAGGAATAAGGGTTCCGTAAGGATGTAGGGTTCCATAAGCCTTTGGATCGAATGTAGGAGCCTCACTTGATAATCAGAATGAGGTTTTCGCTAAAATTTCAAAGATAAATGCAACATGGACGCCAAGGCATAGGAGTAGCAAACATCAGATTTCCACATCGTTCTATACGGGTATCATAATGCCATAAGGGTCTTTGAACGAACGCACTAGAAAAAAAGGATTTGGGTTAAGTCTTTAGGCATTAAGGCTCTATAAGATTCTACAAGGATTTTTAGGGTTTCGGAATTGGGGTGTAAGGTTGTTCTACAAGAATACCATAAAGGTTCTATTCGCATTCGATATGGGGGCAGTCGATGAGGGTTCTATCATGGTGTTCGAGCTCTAAAGGCTTCGACAATCCTCTATGGGAATATCAACAAATTACAAGTTCGAAAAAGGAGTCTATACGGGCTCTTTTGTGCCAAAGGGTCTGGCGAAAAGCAGTGCGCCTAGTCGTTGTGCATGCTAGACCCTAAACCCCAAACCTTCAACCCTCAACCCTACTTAAACCCGAAACCCTAAACCCCAGCCCTAAACCCTGAACCCTACTTCAACCCGAAACCCTGAACCCCAACCCTAAACCCTCAACCCCACTTAAAACCGAAACCCTAAACCCCAACCCTAAACCCGAAACCCTAAAGCCCAACCCTCAACCCTAAACCCGAAACCCTAAATCCCAACCTTAAACCCTAAACCCGAAACCCTGAACCCCAACCCTAAACCCTAAACCGGAAACCCTAAAGCCTAAAGAGCTCAGAGCCTCAGCCCGCTTTTTGACCACAGCTCCGAGGGCGGGGCCAACAACCGGAAGGTGAAGCAGCCATGCAGCGTCTTCATCTCGGAGGTGACCTCAATCGGTTTTGGTTTAGGACTTTGGGCCATTTAGGGTTTAGGGTTTAGGGTTTAGGGATTTAGGGTTTAGGGTTTAGGGATTTAGGGTTTAGGGGCCCCCTTTTCCCAGCCTTTGTAGCGGTGACTCGCTGTCCACCGCCAA